TGAACCCCGGAGAAGAAGAAGAAGAGGGAGAGAGGGAAAGGGAGAGCAAGCCGGTTTTGTACTCGCTCAGTTCGACCCTGTGGATATCACAACTGCTCCTTTCGCTGGGGCCGGGGCGACCTCGTCCGACAAAGGCAAGGGTGCACCAATGGACCAACGGTGAACCTCACCAGGTCGCCTTCGTCTCACTCTCCACACGCCCGTTGAACAAACTTAGTGGTGTCGGACAAAGGTCTCCTGACTCACCGGATCTGTCTGGTTCCATCATCGCCCGTGATCTGCAGGCAGCCATTGCGAACGTACCACGACCGACCCGCAAGGGGGACCACCGTTTTAAGCATGGGGAAGTTCATGGATGAACTTAACATCTAACGAGAGAGTGTGCGCAGCCGAGCCGTCGTCGAACCCCGATGAAGGTGCCGCAGAGAGAAGGTGCAGGAGGTGAAAACGACAGCGAGGAGTGCCCTAATGGACATTTGCACCCACAACGACGTTGCGACAAGCTCAAGCCGGGCATGTCACGCGGACCTCCGGCCCAGCAAGTATGGAGCATTGCATGCATTCGCGCATTCGAACCAGGATGTCAAGACGCAAGAAGAATCAAGACTAGGAGCCATCTCTCCCCAGGCTCAAGCCGCTGAGCGAGGGGTTCAAGACCATCCTCGGTGGATCGCACTCCCTGCGGACTTCAGTGCGCTTACTGCCCAAGTGGCCCTCACCAGTCATACAGGCACAAGTGCTATCAGGCTGGTCGCTCTGAGGCCAGCTTGGTTTTTGCAAATCTCGTCGTAGTTTTCATGCCAGGAATTGTGCATTATCAATGCTTGTTTTCGGACATGAGTGTAGAATCGTGGCAAAGGTGAATGACACGAGTACCATACTGCACAAAAAAATGAGCTGTCCTGACCGTTCTCGAGCTAGCTTGGAGTTTGGTGCGGTCGTGTGAGTTGACAGCACACGGACCATTGAATGCACAGTCGTGCTCAACTGCTTATTTTACACGACACGTGTGTCCTCATTACTCATGGGTAGCAAGATGCTGTGCGAACTAGCGGGAGTCGCATTCTTTAGATTCTGGTAAATGGCTCATGCTTTCTATGTGCATGGCATCGACTTTTCGATACCGGTGCTTTTTCCTGAGATGCACCCGGGTTTCCTGCCAATGATCAAAGAGTCTCCGATATCATGGCTAGCAGGTGCTGAGAAGATGTCCTCGTCTCATGCATGCCACAACAGGTTTTTACGAGGGGGTGCCGGAAAACTTGTATTGGATGCTGAATGCAGACCTCCTTTACACTGCTAGGGTCGCTGTTTGCTAAAGCACTGGTGCCACAGAGACTTGCAGCGACCCACCTCCAGCAGTTATGAGCAACATATAAGCCTTCCAAAAACACACAAACGCACGTAACAGGATAATTAAGCCAAGTGAGGTAGAATGCTTTTGCGTGTTTTCTTTGTGTATTGCTAGCCATTAGTTCAGTGGTTCACAGCTTGCCAGAGACCAAAACAAAGCCAGGTCACTACTGCGCACTATAGTGGATGCGGCGAGAATCTCAGCCAATCTTGCATGCGGCCAGCGGTAAGCATAGCATCGAATGGAACTGCCAGATTCTGAAACGTTTCAATTTCGTGAGCACCTTGAAGCATTTACTAATACTATCAAGATGTTCTTCCGCTCGGCATGGGAATTGCCAGGTTCAGCTAGAGAAGATCGTCTGTGGACGAGCAGAACATGTAGATGCAGCTCCCTTATCGTCTTCGCCGCCAGCTATGAACGGAAACCGACTTGTAGCATGTGCTTCAGGTGGATGCAATCCGTTCCAGTGCAGAGCTCGAGGGATGGACAGACGAGGACAGGCTGGAAGCTTGGTACACCGCAGACTGGGGCCACATTTGCCGAGGCTGCCGTGTGCTACTTGTACCGTGTGCAACCAACAGAGTGCGTCAAGTCACCGCGTGGAATGTTTTTGGCACACGGGCTCTGCTGAAGTATATCAAACCTGTAGTGCGCCTGCTACGCGCCCACAGGAGCTCCGAAAAGAAAACTGGGAATCGGGGGTCAAAGTCTCTATGTATCGCTTCGAGCAGATCCGAGTTACGGTCCTGTTAGACCGTTCGTCAGAAATGTGGCTGTTAGAATCAGAAGCAGTGATTCTCCGCCCGGTGCCGGTGTCATTGAACGGCCAAGGTCGGAATACTTGCCATGGTTGTGGGAGGCAACATTCGGCCTGCAGTCTATGTGTAGACTTGTTTTTGCTTGTATATTATTGTATATATATATATATGTACATATACACATACATATACATGTACATACACATACACGTGCGCATATACATATTTCTGAATGTATTTGTTTATGTTATTATGCTATCTATGTATATATATATATATGTCTCCTACTTCTTTATCCAGAAAGCCTCGCCCTGATGGCCCCATGTTGTCATTTTTGAAAATATCCTAACTTGGGTGAACTATGTCCCGGTAGGCGTAGAGCAAAGCAAGAAAATGGATATCGCAGAGTAGATGGCCGGAAGGAGGGACTGGCAATGTGCTTGGCCCGCGGCTTTGGGGAGTGGAGGGGCGCAGCGCGGCCCGAAAAAATACGAGAACAACAAATTAAGATTTGAAGTTTTCAGTTGTGATTTTTTTTCTGCCTCGCTGCCCCCCCCCTCCAGGCCAGGGAGCCACTCCTTTCAGCTTGGACCCAGCCCTGGGGACCGGCTTGTGCTTTCCTGAATTCTTTAGTGTCGAAGCACGCATGTTTCAGCTGTGCCTGTTCTGTTTTCTCTCGAGCCGTTGGAAGGCCCTGAAGTGCGCAAGAAAAGGCTAGAGTCCTTGTGCCATTGCTTGCTGAGCGTTGCCACGTTCGTGTGGCAGCGGAGCCGGTTCTGCGATCCAGGGGTGGCTTGAAGGCGGTGCTCCTGACGTCGATTCAGGAAATTGTGAAGGAGCTGTGGGCGGACAGCTGGGGCCCGTCGAGGCCGTGACCTTTGGTGACTCTACTTTGTTGGCGGCTTGAGCTGGGCGCAAGACTTCAGGGTCTTTTGGGTGCTATGGCGCGGTCGTACTATGACGCTTTGGGACAGGCCCAAGGTGTGGACTTTGATTTTTTCGATATGGGACAGGACTCCGAGGAGTCCCAGTCCTTTGCAACCCCTCCGCCCGACGCTCATCGGCGTTGGGGTCGTAGGGGCGGGGCGAAGCCGGGCACCGGAGGCTTATCTTCGAGTGATCGGAGCGGGGAGAGTGCCCAAGAGGAGTTTTTTCGAGGCCATCGACCGCGTCGTGTTTTTTGGGATGGTTGGTCAGAAGATGGGAAGTGGGAGGGCAAGGAGACTGAGAGTCGCCAAGGCCACGACCCGTCTTGGCATACTGCAGGCGGCAACGAGGACGCTGCAGATGAGAACTGGAGCTGGAAGACCGGCCACTCGGGGAAGACGGGCTGGTCGGATAGTTCCTGGAGCCGGTCCAATGAGAACTGGGGCTGGAAGAGCCAGGTCGATAATGACTCTGCGTGGAGTGAGGGCTACAACGTGAACTTTGTCGAGGACGAGGTGGGCCTCGACGACTATGACACCAAGAACTTTGACGGCAAGGGCAAGGTCAAGGTTGCTGGTGCCATGGGTGGCGATGAAGAGAAGAGCAAGCCTATGGGCAAGGTTAGTAGTACCTACCCCCCGATCTTCCGTGCGAAGCCCCAGGAGAGCTATGTGGAGTGGAAGAGGAGCGTGGAGTTTTGGATCGGCAGTGAGGCTGGACAGCTCCCGCCGGAGATCATTGGACCGCGGATAATGGTCCAACTCAAGGACCGTGCGGCTCAGCTTGTGAAACACCTCAGCTTGGCAGATGTTAACCATAAGGACGGCAAGAGCAAGATCTTTGAGGTGCTGGAGCAGGCCCCCTTGATTAAGCAGGTGGAGCGGCATCGGATTGACGAGCATCGCCGTCGGCTTATGCAGTTGAACAGGGCCGCTGGAGAGTCTATGGAATCCTACATCACGAGAGCGGGTGTGTACAGGTCGCACTTGCTGGGGTTGGACCCTAGTTTGGCCATGGGCGAGGCTTTCTATGTGGGGCATCTGCTAGATCATGCTCACTTGACCAGGCGAGACAAGGTAATGATCAAGACTAAGGCCGGGAACCCCAACAGCGAGACCGAGATCACCGCCGCCATGATGGACTTGGCTGCGGAGCTCGAAGGAGAGAGTGGATATCCGGTGGGGATCGCTGAGCCTTCGCTGGCGCGCAACGGAGAAGAATGGCTCCTTCAACGGAGCGAAGGGAGGCAGCAGCGGCTGCCCAGTGGGCAACCTGGCGGCCGGACGGCCCGCAGTGTCTTCGCTGCTGAGGGTGGCAATGTCGAGGAGCCCGAGTTTCTTGTGCATGAGGATGGAGAAGAGAGCCTGGAGGAAGGAGACATTCCTCCCGAGATCATGCACATGGAGAATGAGGCTTTCGGTACTCAGTACAAGGCCCGTCAGAAGATTGCCGAGGTTCGCAAACTGCGGCAATACTACAAGAAGCCGGAGCAGAATGAGGAACGCCGCCGTCTTCTGCAGGAAAAGATGAAGACGAACCCGTGCCACGCCTGTGGCCAGCTAGGGCATTGGTCTCGTGAATGCCCGAACCCAAATGGCGGTGGCAAGCCTCAGGGTGTTCTAGCTGCACGTGCCGCGGTTCCTTCCAAGGAGGCGACAAGTTTGACTGACGGTGCTGAGTGGGCTTTGTTGGCCTCTGTGTGTGGGAGCTCAAAGGGCTCCACCGACGTGCCGCGACCGTCCCGAGCCAGTCCGCAATACACGGTGCATCAGGTGTATTCTTCGGTGAGTGTTGCCCTTCATGAGGTGTGTTGGTCGCTGAAGGAGTTGGTCTACAAAGTGATACTTGATATCGGATGCATGAGGTCTGTGGCTGGTGTTCACTGGGCGAATGCTCTGGTCAAGCGGTGGCAGGGAGAAGGCCGATGGTTTCGGGTTACGCCAGAAGTTGAGGTCTTTAAGTTTGGGGACGGTGAGATCCTCAAGAGTCGTTATCGTTTGAGTTTCTTGGGGAGCTTTGGGGCGAAACCAGTCGTCTACGGCTTCAGCATCGTGGATGGAGTTTGCCCACCTTTGTTCTCCCGGGCGGGGTGCACTCAGATTGGGGCCGTGATTGACTGCGAGCATCATTGCGTCGGTGCTAGGAAGCTGGGCGTAAAGTCATATGGGCTCGGGCTTGACAGTGGTCACTACACCATGCCAGTTGATGAGTGTGATCCGCTGTGTGCTGCCTTGCCTGAAGACTTCATGTTGGAGAATGGGATCGATGTGACTCCTGTATCCCCGGCAGTTTTGAAGCTCGAGCCTCCTCATGACAGCCCGCCTCGAGCTCGAGAAGCACATGGCCTCCTCGGCAGCCGAAGCAGCCCCGAAATGCAAGCTGTGCCAGGGACCTCACCGGACGCGCGATTGCCCGACCATTGCGGAGATCTCCGACGACAGCTTCGACAAGGTGGCCATGCCGGTGGATCAAGAGGAGAAGGACAGCGTGGTACGGAAGAAGCCGGGGGCCCGCAAACCTTTGATGGATCGGCGGGTGAAGACCGAACCGGAGACGACGAGCACCGAGACTCCGAACAACGAGCCGATGTCCTGGGGATCTCTGGAGACTTTGACCCCGGCCGAGATCCAGATGCTAACCAAGAGGCGGGCACGGGCGGCATCGGCCAAATCCAAGGCCCAGGCCCGCAAGGCCCTGACCGGGGAGCAGGCGGATTACCCTTCGTTGAGCCTCGTCTGGGCCAACGAGGTCGCGCTGAATGTGGCCTGCTCAGTGCACAGCAAGATGAGGACCTATCTGTGGAAGAAGTTCGTTTGGCAGCTGAGGGTCAAGATGGCGGTGGAGCGGGAGTCCGGGAAGCGCTGGAAGAGAAACCCGCGATGGCTCAGTCTGCTGCTCAGCAAGGAGATCGCCTTCCTCTTCGGCCACTTTGGGGCGATGAGGCAAAAGCTGAACTCTCCGGAGACGTGGCGGCTGATGTAAGGGCCAAGGAGCCCCGTGTGCACCGGCCCAGCCGGGGTGTGACCCAGAAGCTGAAGGCGGGTGTGACTGCGGGGAAGGCGGCTCTCCAGGTCCTCTCCGATGTGGTTGTGGACAAGGGCCAGTGGATCCTCCTTGAGGTGTTTGCGGGCACGGGGCGACTGACGCAGTGGGCTCAACATGGGGGCCAATGGCGAGCTGTTGCCCGCTTGGATCGAGATGCTGGATGGGATCTCACTAGACGTGAGGACGGGCGCAAGCTGCTGGAGCTGGTGAGCCAGGAGAAGCCCGATCTGGTGACGCTGGCTCCTCCTTGTGGGGCCTGGAGCGTGCGTCAGGATGAAGGTGGGCGCCCAGAAACCTGGGAATGGCGCAGGCAGCAGCTCCCCCTTTGGCAGCTGGTTTCTGAGGTATGGAGGGTTCAGAACGATGGCGGCCGGTTGGTTCTTACTGAGCAGCCTGTTGGATCCGAGGCCCTTCAACTGTCCATGATGCAGGGCCGCGACTCGCTGTTCCGGGTCTATCTCGACTTGTGCGCCTTCGGCTTGATTCACCCGGAGAATGGGGATCCGCTCCAGAAGCGGGTGGTCCTGGATGTGAATGACAAAGAGTTTGCCCGCGAGCTCGCCAAGAACTCTTGGTGTCCTCACAAGCACGGTGGGCACCTTGCCGTGAAAGGCATGTGCCGGGTGGATGGGGAAGCCCTTAGGCTGTCCGACTGGGCTGCCCGATGGCCTGACCGTTTCTGTGTGCATGTGCTTCGGGGTGCTGAGGCTGTGCTAACCAAAGCATGGAAGGACCCCGTTGAGGATTGGAGTTTGAGCGAGCCGATTCCTAGCTCGGGATGTTGGGAGGCTACCGTCGTGACGAATGCCTCTCTCCCTGAGGAGCATCTGCGGAAGCACATGGCCGAGAACTGCTTGTCCGGAGAGAGGTACGACTTTGTCTCGTTTGAGGGGGCTAGCAACCAACAACCGCGGCGACTGCGAGCGATGGTGGCCCACTTGCATGTGACGCTCGGACATCCCTCCAATGAGAGATTGGCTCGTATGTTGTCAGTGAGCGGCGGGAGGCCTGAGGTCGTTCAGCTTGGCAGGAATCTGCGGTGTCAGGTGTGTGCTATGGTTCGCCCTCCTCAAGCAATGCCTCAAGTAGCGTACTCCAAGCCCAAGCAGTTCAATGAGCGGATCTCCGGGGACTCCTTCTATATTTGGGACATCGAGGGGGTGAAGTATGCGGTCACCCACTTCATTGATGGCCTGACTGACTATCACGTGGGCGACCTCACGGACAGGCCCGACAGTGGCTTCTCGCGAGAGGTGCTCCAGGATTTGTGGCTCGGGCCGTTTGGCCCTCCAGACCTCCTGATCACGGACGGTGGCCCGGAGTTTGCGGGACAAATCCCGATCCTCACCGACCTGTTCGGCATGGTTCACGAGATAGTCCCTGAGGGTGCTAAGTGGAGGATGGGCCAAGCCGAGCGGCACGGGGCCATTGTGAAGCTGATGATGATGAGGAATGTAAAGGCCATGGCCCTCGCAGGGCTCAAACACATGCGCTTGGCCGCTCTATGCGCCTTCTCGGCAAAGAACCGCTTGAGCAATAAGGGTGGTGTCAGCCCGATGCAAGCAGTAACCGGAAGGGCCTCTGTGATTCCGGGGTCGTTGATGCAACAGCTGGCTGGCGGGCACCTCCGTTTCAAGCACAACCAAGCCCTGGAGACCAGCGAGGCCTTGGCACAAGCTGAGCGGATCCGCCATGGGGCTATCGAATCCTTCCACTGGCTGGATTCCCACGAAGCACTTCGGCGAGCACTTGCATCCCGGTCACGACCGCCAGCCCTCGAAGGCCTGCGTGAAGGGGCTGTGGTGTATGTCTATGAGCCTCCGGTATCTCGCCGTGGGCAAGCCCGACGACTACAAGATGCTTCGTCCTGGCAAGGGCCCGGGGTGGTTGTCTGTGTGGAAAGGGACAAACCGGTGCCGGCCAGAATCTGGGTGCGGATCCGTGGAAGGGTCAAGGCGTTTCCCCTGGAGAAGTTGAGGCTTGCCACACCCGACGAGATGATGGGGGCCGAGTACATCACACATGCGCTGCAGGATGTTGAGGATGAGCTCAAGAAGGGGATCCTTACGGTCGATGAGAATGGGGGCGTCGGTGGCAATGCTGCGGACGAGGACGCGGAGCTCGCGACGGTGATCAATGCCCCCGACCGCAAGAAGGATCGAGCTCCTCAAGGGTCGTCAGATTCATCATCTTCGAGTTCCTCTGACGTCGAAGTTGATGAGCGAGCCGAGGCCAAGGCGCAGTTGCTCGACGACATACCCTACTGTGTCCGGCAGAACTTGAAGCAGAAAGCCGAGGATGCCAAGCAGCCCCAGGATCCTCACGAGTGGGATCTAGCCAAGAAAAGGAGACTCTTCGAGAAGCTCTCCAAGCAGCTGGAACCTCCCTCCACCCTGGAGGAGGCTGGCATCCGCGACCACTTGAACAATGTCTACTCCAAGTTCAAGGCGGTGAAGCGAGCTATCGGAGTGAAACCCAAGGGCAGTGCAACTCGTTCCCGAGCAAGTGCCCGGGGTCGGAATATCGATCCTATGGAGGTGGTGCAACCTCAGGGGGTGAATATGGTGGAGGACCTCGACCTCGAGGCCGGGATGTTCAAGCCGGGTGAGTATGAGGCGATGCTCAATGACACTATTGGACAATGGACCTTGTGGTCAAGCCCTTCTCCACACTCAGGTGAACAGAAGCTGATTGAGGTGACCGCCGCCCTCCACGAGGCGGACAAGGCCGGTGTGACCGAGGTGGTGACCGGGAAGGCTCGCGTCGAGTACAAATGGTCAGGCCTTGACGAACAATGGAGGCAAGCTTATGTCGGGCCGCTGAAGAAGGCCCTTCAAGTCTACCTTGACCACGCCGGGATCAAGGGGGTTCCGAAGGGGACCGTTGTGGACCCCAGCCGGATCCTCAGCTCGCGTTTTGTGCTGACCAACAAGGGCGGTTCGGAGCTGTCAGAGGCCCTCTTGAAGGCGAGATGGATCATTGGAGGCCATCGCGATCCAGATGCTGGCCTCTATGATACGAGCTCCCCAACGGCTTCGACGTTGGGCCACGGGCTTCTGAACTTTGTCGCTGTGCAAAACAAGTGGGTGATCCACTATGAGGACGTGACCGCGGCCTTTCTTCAAGGAAAGGAGCTACCCAGGACTGAGCGGATCTACGCTCGACTACCCAAGGGATATCCTCCAGAGGTCGTCGAGTTCTTGGTGGAGGCCCTTGGGGGAGATGTCCGCGATGATCTGGTTGAGATCACCAAGGGTGGCTTCGGTTTGCCCGAGAGTCCTCGGTTGTGGTACCTGGCCTACAAGGAAGTGCTCCAGGAGTTGGGCCTTCACGAACTTCGCCTCGCGCCTGGGGTGTTCCGGGCTTTCACTGAGGCCGGGGGCGTGAGGGCCATGGCGAGCATCCACGTCGATGACACCCGCTATGCTGGTGATGAGACCAGTGGGGTGCTGTGGGAGCAACTACATGCTCGACTAAAGTTCGGTGAAGTTCGGAAGGCTACTGAGGGGTGGCAAAAGTTTTGTGGGAGGTGGGAGCGACAAGATCCCCTCACTTTTGAGCTGGAGGTGAGCATGGATAGCTACATCACGAACATCCCGCTTGTGAAACCGCGGGAAGGTGAAGCAACTTCCTCTACAACCTCGAGTTCCACTTGCACTACGACGACTCCGGGGTCAGATCCTAGTTTAGGAAAGGCAACCTCCTCTACATCGAGTTCCAGTTGCACTACGATGACTTCGGGGTCAGGTCCCAGTTTAGGAAAGGCAACCTCCTCTACATCGAGTTCCAGTTGCACTACGACGACTCCGGGGTCCTTAGAAGTAGATGATGCAGGCACTGACACAGATCCTCTGTCCCATATGCATGAGATCATCCAGGGTGACCCGAAGGAGCCTCCGTTGACAGATCAGGAGAAGCGTGTGCTCAGTTCCGTGGTTGGCCAGTTGAACTGGGCAGCACGTCAGGCTCGTTTTGACCTGTGTTTCGGAACGTCGTTGGTGCAACAGCTGGCTGGTCAAGGGCGAGGTGAGGCTATGAAGTGGATCAACACGGTCATCCGTCGAGCCAAGGAGTCAGTGGTACTGCGGGTTCGGAATCTCGGGTGCAGCCTGGAGGACGTGGTGGTGCTCTCCGTCAGCGACGCCGCCTATGGTGCGATGCCAAATGGTGGTAGCCAAGGGGGTACCCTCGTGATGTTTGCCAGCCCAACCGTTTTGGAGGGGGTGGGACCGGTGTGCATCCTGGAGGCCACAAGTTCAAAGGTGCAGCGGATTGTCAGGTGCTCTATGTCGGCCGAGGTGTCTTCGTTGGCTACGGCTTTTGAGCACGGTGACTACGTGCGGGCCCTCTTTGTGGAGTTGGTCAAGCCGACATTCAGTTTGAAGCACTGGAAGGCGTCGGTCGCTGCCTGGAAGCATGTGCTAGTGACGGATGCCCGGACCGGCTATGATGCTATCAATTCTGAGACTCTGCCCACCGACAGGAAGATTGCGATTGATGTTGGAGTCCTCCGTCAAGGGTTGGTGGAGGACAGCGCCGGCTGTCAGGTCCGTTGGGTCCCTGGTAGTCAGATGCCTGGGGACGGACTGACGAAGTGGCACGACAATGGGGTGCTGCTTCGCATTATGACGGAGGGCTGCTGGTCCCTGAAGGACACCGCGGAGGCTCAGGAACTACGACGTCAAGCAGCAGCTAAGCGGTCGGCTTGGCGAAAGTCTCAGAAAACCAATAGCATTTGAACAGGGTGCACAGCTAAACTCCAGAGGGGGTTTGTGTCGAAGCACGCATGTTTCAGCTGTGCCTGTTCTGTTTTCTCTCGAGCCGTTGGAAGGCCCTGAAGTGCGCAAGAAAAGGCTAGAGTCCTTGTGCCATTGCTTGCTGAGCGTTGCCACGTTCGTGTTTTAGAGGCTTTGGGAATAAGCCCACATGCAAACCCAACTCGACAAAAAGCTGATGCACACAAGTCCTCGCCTTTGTCCTTTCATTCGCGACCCTTGCAGGCATGTCAAAGTTTCCCTTCCATAAATCATATTACATTCTACCCGCCCACATGCGGATCTATCCTGTTTTCATGTTGTAAAAGTATATGTGTATATGCGATGTGTGTGTATGCATCAAAGCAGCCGTATGTATGTATGTATGTATGTATGTATGTACGTATGTAGGTATGTAGGTATGTAGGTATGTAGGTATGTATGTATGTATGTATGTCTTGCATCTCACTTCTTGTGTCTCCGTGTGTATACGCATCTATGAACTCCAGGGGGAAGAACGTTGCATGTGCATATGTGTATATATATATGTGTGTGGGTGTTCTTATACATATGCAAACACATATACATATACGCTTACATGTGCATACACACATACAGACATACATACATTGACATGCATACACACACGTGCATACATTGCATACATACATACATACATAAATACATACATACATACATACGTACATACATACATACATACATACATACATACATAGAAACATGTATGCATGCATGCATGCATGCATGCATGCATGCATGCATGCATGCATACATACATACATACACACGTTTGTTTATGTATACACGCATACTTGAATAAGCTTAATTTGCTGGAATACATACAGACATGTATAAACACATAGGCCGCACACCGCTGGGTTTATGTTATATCATTTTTCAAACGACCTCCAGGCCTGTATGACCCGATGCACTCTTTGTACATGTGCGCAGTTCCTAGATGCTGGCGATTGGAAGTACTTATATACTTGTTATGTTTCGAACTCATAAAAATGTACTGAAGGAAATATGGACTACAATGATATCCGCGCACAGATATACTGACAGGTACGCCACCAACTTGAGTTATACAGGAACTATAAATTTAGTGGGGCCATGGGGTTCATTGAAAGGCTTGGGAACCACCCCAGACTTTGATGGATGATTCTGCCACCGATAAACACATGACTCCAACATGTCGCTTGCATATCCGTCACGTTTCGAACTCATTAAATGTGCTGAGAACATAAACTCTGATCATTTGCGTGGACCGATATACTCGCATGTAAGCTGCCAACTTGAGACACACAGAAACATACTGCAACATGCAGATTCATTCGGGCCATGGGGTTGAAAGGTTTGGGCTGGACCCCTCTTCCAGGATCGATGTGCTTCGATCGAAACATTCGGCTTTCCGTGATTTCAAAGGGACAATCAGAATCTAAGGTTCCCAGTATTGATGGTGGGCACCCCAAAATGGAAACACCCTGGCGTGTGACATGACCATTCGCTCAGGTAGGCTATGATCCAATCCTTGAAGCGGATATGACGAGTATGCTAAATTCTGAGGGAGGACTGCCCCCGAAAACAGAGCTCTAACATGGCACCACCAAGACGAGTACTTTCATACCCAAGGCTGGGGATGGTTGGTTTCTTCTAAGTCACAAACGTCGGCAAAATCGAGACGATAAAGGAAGCAAGTGATGCGGAAAATGAATTCCAAAGAACCATAAACCCAAATACGAGGAAGTTTCTCAAAAAAAACATGAATCTAGGAGTTATGGAAGTCGGAAGTAGTGACTGTTTGGCAAGGAGTCCAAATCTAATCGGACATATATCGGACCTCAAACCCAACACCTTAGTCCCTTATAGGATCTACTGGATCTTGACCCCAACACCTCTGAAAAGCATCATCCCCGGAAAAAGCTGACTGGGTTCCGAACACGACAGATAGGGTAGGTTGGGGGAACGGGTGTTTTTTTTTGCTGTTGCTGCTTTAATGTTGTTGTGCAAGCCCCGGCGAACCAGCAAGTGAGTG